ATATATATATATATAATTTTCTTATTTCAAGCTAAAATGAGCCAAACACATTTGAATAAAGGGTTATACGTGTTCAACTCTTTTATAATTCGTGCTTAAAAAATTTGTTCTTCTTCAACTCACTTGCTTAATGATTCAAACACAAGCCAACGAGACAATAATGAATAATGATAATGTGTAACCTTAATAACAAAAAAACAAAAACTAAATAACAATAATTATGTATTTTGTAATATGAGTTTGAATGTATCTAATGTAAATTTCCAGCCATAATATAGTCATTCATCCTAGGCCAGCCATTCTTCATATAATAATATGGTATACATAAACAAATTAAAATAATATGAAAGAGAAAGGTAATTATAATTATGCTGTCATGACAATTAAATACATAAAATAAAATAAAAATTCCAGGCTAATCCAAATGCATGCATGATGCAAGTTTATAATCTCAAGGTAAAGAAGTCATAAATAGTTGAGAAATGAAGCAAAATGGAACAAATATCAACATGATCCCTTGACGATTTGAATGCCTTCAATTCAGTCGCATCACTTTGCGGTGCTCCAACTTAGTTCTATGATCATTGAAAATTGATCCCAATAAATCCATCGTCTAGAGATCATGACACAAAAATAGTTCGAACTTAGTCCCTCGCCTATATAAAATTAATCAAAATTTTGTCTCTCTCTGAGGGACCAACTGGGATCAATTTTCAGTGTTTGAAGGACTAAATTTGCTACATCTGAGAGGTTAGGGGATAATTTTGGGATTTAACAGGAAGCAGAGAGAGTTCATACCACTGGTATCATTTCATATTCAAGTGGCTCTAGTATAAAATCTTCCTCTTGAGCAATGCCGTTCACAAACAACTTCCCATCACGAACCTATCAAATCAAATAAATATATATATAATCATAATGATAAAATTAATTAGTCATCAACAAATTAAGGAGGACAACCTCTACAATATCTCCAGCTTTTGCCACAATTCTTTTGATGAATACATCATGAGGGCTATAACCAAGCTCCTGCAGAGGAACATATCAATTAAAAATAAAAACGAAGATTTACATGCATACCACTCAATTTTTATGTATTTGGATATCTAACACCTAAACATTGATTTACAAGATGTGTTTCACTTTTTCAAAGTTAACATGGGGGTATTTTTTTCGTAATATACAAAATTTTGGGTGGCATAAATGTAACAAGCATAGGTTATGTGTTAGACATGTAAATACATTAGAATTCGGCGGTATGTATGTAAATACAGGAAAAAAAAAGAGTGTGCAATTATTGCACGCAATAAACAAAGAAAAACCCCAATCGATAAAACTATTACCAGCAGAATTGGAGGAGTTCTAAAAATAACAATATCTGTGACCTCTGGCTCTTTGAAAAAATAAGAAACCTGCAGTACATGAGCATTAACACAAAAATTAGTTAAACAGTTCCAATATATATATATAAGAGAACTATTCTTTGATATGAAAAAATTTTATTCTCAATATAATTATCTTTGATGTTGGGAAGTACTAAGCACAAGATCAATAATATTTTTCTTGATCAACTAATGAAGGGGTGACAATCCCGCCAAGAGAACAAGAACGCCGCATGAAAAATTGAAGGAATACTTGCATACATACCACTCAATTCTTATGTACTTAAATATCTAACGCCTAAGCTTCAATTTCTACAAATATATCACCTTACCTACGCATGAAAAGGTGTATTTCACTTTTAAAAGTTAAAATAGTGGTAGCTTTTTTGTGATATAAAAGATTTGAGTGGTTTAAAGGTAAAAGAAAAATTTTACATGTTAGATACGTAAATGCATAGGCATTGAGTGGTGTGTTTGTAAATGCCTCTAATTGAATCGTGATGATTTATATTTTTGAGTGATTGATATATGTAACAAAGCCAAAAGATACTTGGGCATCTTATTTTACTTCACATGTTCCATAATGGCCAGCATGCAACAATATACTTTGAGTACTTCATCATGTTGCTTAATTTGAATACCATGCCCGTGATGAAATCAAATATACTTAAATGGCTATGCTTTAAATACTTCATGTTGTGCTTCATCAACTTAGTTAAAATTGGGCGAATTAAATGAAGGAATGAGTAATAAAGCTATATAATAAGAAGGTCAGAACTTCTATTGGATTCATATTCATAGCTGTTTTACTATGGTTAAGAAAATGTTTCTTAAGGGGGTTAGAGCCTTCATAGATGAATGTGTGCAGTAATTAGAATTGGAGAATATTTTGTGGATCAAGTCGGGAAGCAGCTCTTAGAAGCCATGTGTGGATACAACTCATTATATAATTGCATATACTTGTTATTGGATGAATGCAAATGGTTAGAATCACAACTATTCAGCTATAGATGAATTACTTTTTTATGAATGCAAAATTTTCACAGCATAACAATTAAACGGCCTTGACAATAAGAAAATACATTATCCTATACTAATGAATAGCAATTTATATACATAAATGACACTTTATAGCACCTAAATATTAATTAAGGATAGTTATAAATTAATCAAACTTTAAACAAATCAAATAAATACCGACATTCACCTCAAATAACCGAACCCACTTGGTGTGATAAAGGCTTGTTGTTGTATCACTTGAACTCATATAGCATCACCCGCGTAATTTTAAATTTAATAAATTTACCATGAAATCTCTACAATATCAAATTGCCATAATACTTATAAGACACTTCTCTAGTCTTGACTCTATCTTAATTAAATTAATGCAAATTATAAATTGAAATTTGATGAAACTTAATTCATAAGTAATTTTTATGTTATAAATCACAATCAACTTTGTGATATTAAATTTGAAGGCTGCATAAAATGATATATATACCAAAAACTATGAAGAGAATAATCACTCTCCCCATAGGTGAGAAACGTATGCAAGTGCAAACTCAAATAATTATAGTGATATATAAATTTAACGAATATAAAAGAAAAGATAATGTTTTATCAAATTTCACCTTTTCTGCCAAGATGCGGTCTCCAACTTCAAATGTTGGATACATAGACCTACTAGGAATTCCTCTCGGCTCAGCCAAGCGAGAGCCAGATAGCAAATAAACTGTAACTGCAGCAAAGGCAATCTTCGCATCATAGGAGCAAGAGCTGATCCACCGCGAGAAACTCCAGCTCTTCTCGCAAGGCAGGGTATGGAATTCAGGCACACCATTAACCTTCAAGGAAGGAGGGCAGTTCCTCAATGCACACTCAGCTGAAACCACTGTTTCAGGCTTCGCAACCCCATTCTTCATACTCGAGGGGGATTCAAAGAGCTCAAGAGGTTCTTGAGTTGCCTCCACAGTGACAGTTCTCGCTTTGTCTGGAGGATCTCTTTTCGCTGAACCTGAACCTAAGAAAAAATCACTGCACGGAAACCATTTGCTTGTCGGTAAGAATGGGAAAAGTGAGGAGGGATTGAATCCTACGCTCATGGAAGCTGACAAGGAAAACACCCCTGAACTAGGAATCGGCTCTGAACAAGTTCCTAATGCAGAGAGAAATCTCACAAAGGGGCTTACTCCGCTGGGTACCTTCGCATCGTGACTATCCCTGGGAAAGACACAGAAGCGGGATGCATCGGCAGCTGCATCCGAAGGCTTTAATAGTTCATCGGCAGTGGGAGCTGAAAACTCTGAAGAAGACTTGCCAGTAAAGAATGATAAAGCGGCAACATCAACCGGAAGCTTGGGCATCTCCTTTGCACGGGAAGCCGGAATCTCTGTAGGAGGCTTGTTGGAAACCATTGTAGAAACCGCCTCGGCAACAGGAGCCTTCGACAATTCCTCATCACCAGAAACAGGAGCCTTCCCAAGTCTATTGCATGGAAACTTTGAAGCGTCCATGGCGCCGACCAGAAACTTGAACAACTCCATAGCAACGGATGTTTGATTCGCCGTCCGGGAACCTCCAATCGAGGATGAGAATCGCGATGGAGAACTGGAAGCACGAGTCCATGAGCTATTCCTCGCCAAATACTTCTCCCCAATTCCGGAAAGTTCATTATCAGACAGCTGGTTCGCCAAGAAGGCCAAGGGACGGCAACCGGACTCGTTGATGTGGAGGAAGCTGCAGCAGCGGGGACCAACGGAGGCGGCGAGACACTGGGAAAGGTAACTCGAATAGGAAAGGGTGGCGCGGATGGCCATCGGTCAGGGTCTTCAAGAAAGAGTGGAGATGCGTGACGGTTGAGGATTAGGGTTAGGTTTCGCTCCCTTCTTTTCCCGGGCTTTTGGCTCGGGGAACGAAGGAAGAGTAGGCAGGGTACGAGACGCTGCCGGAAATCTCATGAAAATGGGAAGACGGTCTTTGGCTTTTAGCCGTCTGATTTTCCATTAATAAACTGATAGTGGTATATTATAGAGTTTCGATTGTAATATATATTTGATATAAAATTTTTACATTTGATTTACAATCCTCAATAAAATTACTTAAAATATAATAAATTTTAAAATTTAATGTCAAAGTTTAATATATAATTTAATACTAATATTATTTATTTATTGTTTCATTAATTTGAGTAGAGTCAAATCAAGCACGAATGAACAAGGTGTCAGCTCATTTATAAATTGAGCTCAAAAAATTTATTTGTGCTTGACACGCTGCTTAACAAACGAACACTAGTTGTACACGAGCAATGAGCATATTAATGGCGCTAGTTGCATGCTATATCTTCAATAGGAAAAGTATGTTGTATTGGTTTTGCTGCGAGAATTATTTAGTCTTTTCATGACTGTACTCCGTTAGTTTAATCAATGATTATTTAGCAATGTTTATTGATTATTTTTTAATATCTCATTATAGTATGCAGTATTTTTTAAAGTATAATAACATGATGTTGATTGTACTTCTGCAATGTTTTAAGCTTGTGCGCAAGAAATGTAGGAGTAAGTTTGTGTTTTTACACGTTGTTAGAGCATATGAAGTCTGCTTTATGATGCTTGATTTTCAAGTAAAAGTGATTTGTTGCATGTCATGAAAAGGTTTCTTATAGTACAACTATGTTGCATTATTTGTATTATTACATTTCTTGATTTTGGCATTGTTTTACTCCATTAGTTTACTCACTCATTATTTAATGAAATCTCTTGTATATTTCTTAATATCTACATATTTAACTCCATTAGTTTACTCACTCATTATTTAATAAAATCTCTTGTATATTTCTTAATATCTACATATTTAAGTATTGTTGAATCTTACTATTTGTTCTATGATTATTTTATTTAAGTATTGTTGAATCTTACTCGTGCAATCGTAGATGTTTAGGTCCTGATGTCAAAAATTACAAGCAATGATGTAATTCATAAAAAGGAAACAATTTGTCATAGTTGTTCGCAATAAAAATAAAGTATGTCATTTATGTTGTTTGAGCGTTTGGAATGATTGTGTCAGCAGCTGGCAAAATGCAATGATTATAAAATCAAATGATTTTGTATGTTTAGAGGCTGATTTTAATAAAATACTCAATCTAAATATTATGGTGAAGTTTTAAACATCACACTCTCTTATTGGTTGTTGTTTAATTATTATATTTGTCATTGATCATAAAAGTAATTGGACTATAAATAATTTATTAAAAATAACAATCGTTAATTAATCAGGTCAGTTGATTAACATATGTGGGGATCATATCGGTGCATTAGTGCAGGCAAACTAATTGTATTGCAGTAAATGACGCATGCATAAATTTGAGTGATCAATGCATCCAATTATATTGTTGAAGAAGTATGAGGAGTACAAAATGTGAGATTTTGAAAAAATAGATGCATTTAATTATAAATATAAGGAGAAAATAATGAGAAGTAAGAATGAATATATTGATGTTTTAATGCAAATATTCAATGAAATGTAAGTTGAAAAGAACATGTTTGTATGAGATGTCAAGTTTGATGACTAAGTTTGACAGAATAATTTTGTTTGGTGATGATTGATAGGGGTTGATTATGACTGCTTCGGGGTTATCATTGTTATTTATACAATTTATCGACTTAATAATTATAATTAAGTATGTGCTCATTTAGTTAGAGTTATTTATCATTGTCAAATATTTTATTTTGGAGTTGCTTTTTTTTTCAAAATAAACAATTGATTAATGCACTTACTATTGAAAACAGTCATTCACATGTTGGATGATAAATATCATTCAATAATATTCATCGATGAAAATTAGTAAATGGTGAAAGTTGTGGAAGTTGCATTCTCTCACACTCAATATAGACTATGTCGACGACATGTCTCTAATAAGACTTATTTGAAAATAAATTGTTTCAATAATGATAAGACAATAAAAAATGGTCATCACATGTGCATGAGTAATTGTGATTCAATTAAGAAGTTTGAACAAATATGTTCTTAGACGATTGGAAAATTAAATACATAAGATCATTCTTGGTTAAACAAAATATATAGAAATAAAAACAATTGGTCAATAGCAACCAGTAAAAACATTTTATGCATTAGAACTTATTAACACGCCGCAGTGAGGTCTACAAATAATCTATGATATGTAATTTCAAAGCCTACAAACATTATCTCAGTTTTTTTTTTTTTTTTTTTTTTAAAAAATACATAATTAATACATGGAGAATAAATGAACAATATGTGATTTTATATGTAGTCAATCTACGGTTTTTCTAGATGTCGAAAGCATTCATATATTAAGGCAACCATATGATAACTATGAACTCATATGTAATAACTTTTACCAATGAGCAACTAGATCACCTGCACAAGGTGTTTCAATGTCTGAAGTTATTGAATCTATCTTGTTCCTCTTTAGTTATTGCATTGGTAGGTGCTACTTTTAATTTTATTCATATTTGGATAATTGATTATGATACAATTAATAATAGGAAAGTTTGTTCTAAATTATTATTATCATATAGATATTATGTAAGCAATAAAAATGTCAAAATTGATGTTGGTTTTATCTCGGTAATTGTCAGGATGCGGGCTGTCAAACTCACGTTGTTATTAAATCTTCGTGATATGCTATACATTCTCAAATGGCCTTGTAATCAAATGTCCATTTTTAAAGTTATTTATGATCATCAGTGTCAATATACTTTTCACTCTTATTGTTGCGAGTTTTTTGATATGATTGCTGGGAAGATGACTGACAGTACTTAAAAAATGATATATTTTATTATTTAAGATGAACTTGATGCGAAAAAACAATATCAACGTACTTTTTTTTTAATTTTGGTTTTCTTTCCATGGACAGTGATATGATATGGTATTATATTTTAGATCATTCTAGTTTCTAATATTTAACATGCTTGTCTGTTGATTTATTTAAAAAAAATATCATCTTTCCAATGTGTTGTTTTTCTATTTCCTAAACATCATCGTGCGTTCTTTTCACCACAAATTTACAAATCAACTAATTCCCTTACTCTGATTTATAGTGATATAGAAGCAGAGGTAATCATATAAAGACTAAAGCATATTGTATAAAAATTGATCTTAATTTATTATAATTAAATGAAAATATAACACTAAATGAGACTCAATGGAGAAAAATGATTCGTGTCGCTGACGCCACTAAATGAGACGCAATGGAGAAAAATGATTCGTGTCGCTGACGCCACTTAGTGGGATAAAGGTTTGTTATTGTTGTTGTTGTTGTTGTTGTTGCAGACTGAATGACTAGATGGAAGGCATGTTGTATTTGGGCAAGTGTTAGAGGGCACGAAATTGATCAGGCTCATTGAATCACGGGGAAACTGATTGTGGAGATCGACCACAGAAGAAGGTCACTATCACAGATTCTGGAGGGTTGTTGTGGGTTGAAGTTGAGAGATGATAATCGAGTAAAGAGAGGAGTTGGCCTTATTGGCAAGGCAGAGAGATGGAGAGATTAAGTTTCATCATCTTTGTTGTTGTTGTTTATGAGATTAAATTATTGTATGTATATGTATGATTATATTAAATATTTTGATTTAATTATATGTTATATAATTCGATCCTAATATGATTGGATTTTATTTAGTTTTCATGATTACATTGAATGAGAATTGAAGAAATAATATTTAATCATATCATATATTTGAAGTACTAAAAAAAGATAAATATATTAATATAAATTGAAGTGTGATTTCATAAGTGCCCTTCTCTCTCTCTCTCCCCGCCCCCCAATCTAAAAAAATTAATGCCAATTTTTTCATTTTACTCCGTTCAATGCCGTTAATTGCTATCGGAGCTGAATTTATCCATTAAGTGTTAGTACTAGTTTTTTTTTTTCTTCCATTCATCATTATATTTATATTCTATAATAAAATTAATGTCACACAACTTCTATAATGGTATAAAGATTAATAATAGGAAGACATGCTCCTCTTCAAAGATTATCAATAAGAGTGATTTATTCAACCTATCTTAGGGTTTATTTGGGGCAGTTGCAACTTATACCATGAGTGTGATTTCATAATAATAAGATATTACTCTCTCCCCCCC